ACCCCCATTCCTGGGCCAGGGCCACACCCAGGCAGGGCATGAAACTTCCCTCTCCCAGCAGACAAGGAGAGGTTTGGTCCATGGGGGTTGGACAAATTCCCTACAGATTCCCGTGGTTTGGAGAAAGGCAGCAGGAGCCTTCTGGAAGCTTTGCTTGTGATCTCCTGTTCCCAGGCAGGTGGAGAGCAGGGGGAGGCTCTTTGGGTCAGGATCAGAGGCTGGACTGGACACGGGGCTCATGGGGGGCTGGTGTGACCCCATGGCCCTGGAGTGTCCCACCCTGACCCTTGAGCAGCCAGAGCCTGCTCTCCAGGCAGCTCAGGATGCTCAGAAACCACAGGAGAATAAAACCAGAGCTGGGGTGGCAAAAGACACTGGGGCAACCTCTTGTGGATGGGAGCATTAAACCTGTTCCCAACCTGCTTCACCTGGACCTGCTTCACCTGGAGCTGCCCCACCTGGACCTGTTTCCCCCAGATCAGGCTCAGGGAGGCTTGTCCTTCCCCAGCACTTCAGCAAAGACTTTTCTGCTCCCTCCTCTCTGCTGGAAGGGCCCCTCAGGTCTCCCTGCCCTGCTCCCGGCACACTCCTTGCTCCTGAACCTTTCCTCGAGAGCTCCAGGTGCGGCAGCTGGTTTTCCACACCCTGGGAAGAGAGGCTTTGATGCCTTTTTTTCCCCAAAAAAGCTCGTGGGGGGGCTGCAGGTCCCTTCCCTCAAGCCCAGCCCTGCCTCCCCCCAGCTCTCGCCCTCCCGCTCCAACTTTATTTGTTTGTTTGTTGTTGTCGCTCCTTCCCGGAGCGTTTCTCCCGCTTTTCCCTCCTCTCTTCCCATCCCACCCTCCACCCCATTGGTCGCAGGGGCTGCGCTCGGGGGAGCCCCGCGGGTTTCTATAAAACCACCCAGGGCGGGGAGACTCGGCGAGTCACGGGAGGGGACAAACATCCCCTGAGCACCAACCCCGCCGCCCCCAAAAAAACCCCATCCGCAGGATCTAAAGCTGCTCCCGGGACATGCCCAGAGCCCCGCGCAGGGGGAAGGAGCCGTGAGAGGGGCAGGATCTGCTCCCGGGAGCGCCCAAAACCCGCGGGAGCGCAAGAAGGTAATTTAATTCCCCCGCAAGGCTTTGCCAACAAAAGGGATTTCTCTCTTCAGGGGGAGTTTTTGCGCGTTTTTCAGGTCCCCCTCCCCGAGCAGCCCCCTCCGGGGGAGGCGTTGAAGGGGCCACGGTGCCTGGACAAGGTCCAGGAGCTGGGCAGGGAGAGGGGGAGCGAGGAGAAATCCAGCACAGCGCTGGGAGAAACTCCTCCTGCCCATGGACCAGGTCGGGGTCGGGGCAGGGAGCAGCCGGGAATGGGGAATTACCACCCGCCTTTCCCCCGCACATGGAAGTGTTGCTGCAAGAGACATTTATCCACAGGAAAAGTCTGTTTGGTGTTTGGGGTGGTGAGTCTGGCCCCCCTGGTGTTTTCCCAGCAGGACTGTGCTGGGTCTTTTCCCTGGGCACGGGACAGCCCGTGGGATCTGCTGGGGACGGGGGTGTTGGTGCAGCTCCAGTTTCCCCATGGAATGAACTGGAAAAGTTCTACTGGTCCTGTGGACCCTGAGATGGGACTGCAGAACTGTCAGGAGCTGCTCCCGAAGGCAGGGGGACCGGCTGGAGATGAGGATGCAGCGGCATTCCTGGCTCCCATGGAATTCCCGGCTCCCAAGCCCCTCCAGCCCACACAAGGCACCCTTCAGGCAGCGCCAGGTTTTGCAGGGTTATGGTGACGGTTTTCAGTCTCGTTTTCCCTCTGGGAATCACTCCCTGATGCCCATGTCAGGATTCCAGTGGGTCCAGCTGTGGTTTGGGCTCAGCACAGAGTGAAGTTTCCCAAGCAAAGGGATGGCAGCAATTCCCCAAGGGAAGCCCCTCGGCCAGGCAGGTGGGATGGGGGTGGTCCCTCTGGGCACCCAGTCACCTCCCCAAATGATCAGCAACATGAGCAAAGCTCAGAGGATTTTGGGTCAAGCAGTGCTGGATTTGGTCTGACATCTGCCAGACCCTGAACAAGTTTCTTGATGCTCCTGTGCCTCATTTCCCCCAAAACTGAGAAGGGGTTGGTGCTTTCAGGAAGGGGTTGAGGCAGCGTGGAGGGCAAGGAATAAACAGGCTGTTGGACAGGAGGAAACAATGCTTGTCTTTGACTAAAATTTGGATTTAGGGAAAGATTTGACTGATTTTAAGGCAAGATGGCAGGAAAGTGCTTTTTTTTTCTCCGGTGTTTTGCAGCTGGGCAGGACCCAGAGAGCCGAGTCCTGTGATCCTCACTCACATGAGCTCTTCTCAGCCCCCGGGGCTGAGCAGCCACACCAGGCTCTGGGCTTGGGGTGGGCAGATAAAAGCATCTGTGGGGGGCAGAGGGAACGACTTCCAGGGATTCTCTGGTGCCAGTGCTGGCTCCAGGAGCCACCAACTTCCTCCAGATGCTTGTCCGTGCCATCCAGAGCTGCTGCCCAAACCCTCAGGGATCTCTGGCAGGAATTCTGAGCTGAGTCTGCCCTCTCCTGTGAGCTGCAATCCTGTGGGAATAGTGGGGTGGAGAGGTCAGGACACCCCCCCGTGGGACACCTGTCCCCTGGGGAGCTGGGGCAGGGCAGGGGGCTGAGAACTTCAACAAGGTACAGGCTGAAGTCCCTGGGACAGGTCAGAGCAGGGGTTTGTGCCCAGGTTTGTGCTCCTTTGGGTTATTTATCCATTCTCTCCCTTTCTTTCCCCCTTTTCCAACACAACTGGGTGCCCTGGCATTCCCACAAAGCCTGAGCCCCCTGACACAGGGGGGGTGCACAGGAGTGTTTGCAGGAGCTGTGCTTGTACCTGGGGGGACTCTTGCTTGGCCTGGCCATGTCTTCCCAGAGTGGGAGCAGTGTTCCCACCACACTTCATTGTTTGTCCTGGGATCCCCAGGGTCCTGGACAACCCTGGAGTGCCTCAGCTGGAGAGTCTTGGGGAGCAGATCCCAGGGTTTGGGCTGAGATCCCAACTCTGCCTGGAGGAGTCAGAGCAGAGCCTGAGTCCCATCTCTAATCACAGGCAGGCTCCCTGATCCCAGGGAATCCCAAAAGGCTCCTCTTCTTAGTCCAGACACAGCAATTTTTCCTCCCTTCCGAGAGGGCTGGAAAGTTTCACAGTTCCTCAAACATGTTCCTCAACCCTCCAGCCAGGAGCCCCCCGATCTGTCCCTGTCTGGGGCACAGACTGGCACTTTGCTGCCCTCTCCCATTCCCTCTCTGGGCTCAATTCCAGATCTGGATCATCCAGAAGCCCCTTCCTCAAACTCACATCGCTCCAGGACGGTGCCACCACCACCCTGAGCTTTGTGCTTGTGGAGCAGCAGCTTGGCTTGTCCTGCCTGGAAGTGCCATCAGAGATGCACAAAGCTGAACCATTCCAGGGATATTTATTAGTTCTCCAGCCTTGGAGAGCTTGAGAGACCTTTTACTGTGCTCAGCAGCCAGGACTGTGAGGGCACAGGGAGCTTTATATCCCTGAGGATGGAGCTGGACAGGCACAGGGGGTTTGGAGAGGAAGGAGTTGAATTTAGGGAGATGAGGATGGGGAAGGAGGGGCTGTGCTGCTGCACATCAATTGGAATGGGATGTCAGGGATCAAAATGGCATTTCTGGAAAAAAAAACCCGTGGTGTTTTCCCAGCAAGACTGTGCTGGGTCTTTTCCCTGGGCACAGGACAGTCCGTGGGATCTGCTGGGCATGGGGGTGTTGGTGCAGCTCCAGTTTCCCCATGGAATGAACTGGAAAAGTTCTGCTGGTCCTGCAGACCCTGCAGATGTGAAGGTGTCCACAGAGGTCCCAAAACTGCAACTTCAGTTGGGAACTAAACTACCCAAAAACTAAACTGTGCAACTCCCCAACAGGAGGGGGAGCTGGGGGTGTGTGTTGGGCTCTGCTCCCAGGGAACAAGGGATGGGATGAGGGGAAATGGCCCCAAACAGTGCCAAGGGAGGGTCAGGTTGGACATCAGGAGGAGTTTCTTCCCGAAAAGGGTGGTCAGGCACTGGAAGGGGCTGCCCAGGGAGGTGGTGGAGTCCTCACTCCTGGAGGTGCCCAAGGACGTGGCACTCAGTGCTCAGGGCTGGGGGACAAGGTGGGGGTCAGTCAAAGGTTGGACTTGATGACCTGGGAGAGCTTTTCCAACCTCAGTAATTCCATGATTATAAAGGAGTGGGGTGGACATTAAAGGAAATTGGGCTTGGCCATGTGAGCAGCAGTGCCAAGTGCCAGAGGTGCAGTCGCTGATCCCACACACCCATTGAGCCAAGGAAGGACCCTCAGTCACCAAAATGCCACGTCAGAGACACAAGGGGCTGTTTGTTCTCCTTTCAGCTTGTTTTTCTGGACTGGCCTGTTTAATTTTAGCAGCGCAACCTCCCACCCTCAGGGGCAGCTGCTCTGACCTGGTGGGATCCCATCTGGCATCGTTTCTGTCCTCTGTGATGGTGGATTTCTCCAGCAATTCATAGAATACAAGAGGATAGAATAATAAAATAGAATATTCTGAGTTTGCAGGGACCCACCAGGACCATCCAGCCCAACCCCTGGCCCTGCACAGACACCCCAACAATCCCCTCAGAGTGTTGTCCAAACCCTCCTGGAGCTCTGGCAGCCTTGGGGCTGTGCCCACTGCCCTGGGGAGCCTGGTCAGTGCCCAACTACCCTCTGGGGGAAGAACCTTTCCCTGAGATCCAACCTGACCCTGCCCTGGCACAGCTCCAGCCCTTCCCTGGGTGCTGTCCCTGGTCACAGAGAGCAGAGGTTGGAGCTGCCCCTCCACTGCCCCTCAAGGAGAGCTGCAGACCCCAGTGGTCTCCCTCAGTCTCCTCTCCTCCAGCTGAACAGACCAAGTTCCCTTTCACTGAACCACCTTTCTCTTTCCTCCACTAACAAAGTTCTTTGCCTGGTCCCTTCCTCCACCTGCAGATCCCACCAAGACCATCCCACGAGCACTATGAGGACTCCTGGCAGCAGCTCCCCTCTTTGGTGCTCCACAGCCACCCCCCCAGCTCCCGCTGCTCTGGCCCTTTTCCTGACCTTGCTCTTCTCCGGCGCTCGCAGCCAGACCCCCCGTGCTCTCCAGGAGAGCGCCGTGCCCTCGGGGGTGCTCAGCCAGGAGCAGGCCCACAGCCTGGTGCAGCCCAGCCTCCTCCAGGACGCCCAGGGGTCCAACCTCTCGGGGAGCCTCCCCGGGAGCAGCAGCGCGGAGCCGCCGCTGCTGCCTGTGTGCGTGAAGCCCGCGGACATCCGGCACGTCTTCAAGTACATCAACACCATCGTGTCCTGCACCATCTTCGTGGTGGGCATCATCGGCAACTCCACCCTCCTGAGGATCATCTACAAGAACAAGTGCATGAGGAACGGGCCCAACGTGCTCATCGCCAGCCTGGCCCTGGGGGACCTGCTCTACATCCTCATCGCGCTGCCCATCAACGTCTACAAGGTGGGCTGAGGGCAGGGCCGGGCTGGGGCTGCTCTGGGCAGGATCTCTGGGAGAAGCTGTGCCTGCCCCACCCCTGGAAGTGTCCAAGGCCAGGCTGGACGGGGCTTGGAGCAACCCGGGCTAGTGGAAGGTGTCCCTGCCATGGATGGGCTTTAAGGTCCCTCTGAAAACATTCTGTGATTCCATGGTTTGTTTTGCTGCTGAGGTCGAATGACAGAGCTTGAAGAGGGGGGTTGGCTCTGAGTGGGGGGGACCTCAGGATGGGCTCCAGGTGTCATGGGATATAAGGCTTGTGAATTCAGGCTCATTCTCACCCTCATGAGTGAGTGGCCCAGGTTTCTCCTGCCTCCAGGGCACCTTGTCCCCACTGGTCCCCTCTGCCTTTCCCAGCTGAGCATGGGGGCACGGTGCATGGGTTCTGTCAGGAATGGAAGTGTGGTTGAGGGTCAGAGCTTGGGGAAGGCTCAGGACACATGGCTTAAGCTGTCCAAGCTGGATTTGGGCTGTTTCAAAGCACAACACCCATTTTCCCCTTTGAAAACAACCCCAAGAAGCCCATTGTGGTGTTTAGGACTCAAATCCACTCACAGCCACACAGGGACCGGAGTCAGGACTTAGTGTCTGGACCATCCTTCATCCACGTGTCCACTCATCTCACTGGGAGTCCTCAGGGAAACCAAAGGTTCCCAGGACCCTCACACAGCTCTGAACCTCAGAGTGCTGCTCTCTGTGGGCTTCTCACACCCTGTGGCCTTCTCACACCCTGTGGGCACCCACCTGCTGTTTTGGGAAGCTGGGCCAGTGTTCCCAAAGCAGCCTGATAACCTGTGGTTCTTCCCCAGCTCTTGGCAAAGGACTGGCCCTTCGGAGTGCAGGTGTGCAAGCTGGTTCCCTTCATCCAGAAAGCCTCCGTGGGCATCACGGTCCTGAGCCTTTGTGCCCTCAGCATCGACAGGTAGGAAACCTCCTCCACACCTGCCCTGCCCAGCCTGGCCCGTGTCTGTGTCCCTTCACCATCACCAAAAGCCTTGGTCCCGGCACAATTCCAAGATGGGGACAGGCTGCTGTCACCTGGGGTTGAAATCCAGCAGGAACTGAGTTGTATCCTGCTGGAAGAGGTTAGGGAAGAACGTGCTGGAACAACAGGGGTGGTGGTGGGGAAGGGTGACAAGTGGACACTGGTCAAGGACAGGCCCCCTTGAGCCCCTGCTTCCCATTCCACTAAGGAAGGCTCAGGGGTGGGGGAGGAAGGTGTGAGGGGAAGGGCCTTTGGGGACAACCCCAACCTGCACCTTCCCACCCCCTTCCTGACGGCTGCTTGTCTCACTCCAACCCCGGGCAGGTACCGAGCCGTGGCGTCCTGGAGCCGGATCCAGGGCATAGGGATCCCCATGTGGAAGGCGGTGGAGGTGGTGCTGATCTGGGCAGTGGCCATCGTGCTGGCAGTGCCCGAGGCCATCGCCTTCGACATGGTGGAGCTCAGCTACTGGGAGCAGCACCTGTGGGTGTGCATGTTGGCCTCGGAGCAGAAATCCCGCTTCATGATGGTACGTGCTCGCCCCGCCCGGGCACACGCAGACCAGCAGGGAGAGCTCTGACGGGTGTCTTGGGTTCTCTGAGGCAAGAGGCAGGAGAATCCTGGTGCCAGAACCAGAGTTGCAGACCTGTCTCACATCTGCAACGATGGAAAACTGCCCAAATACCCCTGGGGACAGTCTGACTGAGAGCCACAGGTGCCAACAGGAAGCACCCAAAGCTCCCTCTTTCAAGCCAAAACACATCCTCTCAGCCAGGAAGGGCCAGGAAGAAGCTTTTAGTTTTATCAAACAGGAGTCAGGGGCAATAATTCCCCCAGTTCATGATGCAATCCGAGGAGCTGATGGTTCCCCAGCCACCTCTGAGGGGTGAAACCATGAGAATGCACAGTACAATTAACCACTCATTAGAAGAGTGTCAGCTCCTTGATTAGAGGAGTAGATGCCTCTGGAGGTGGCTCCTGGCCTCGGGGGAAGCAGGGAGAGCAGTGCCAGGCAAAGCACAGGCATTGCAGTGATGTGGGGCCAGAGAACAGGGAGCTGTGTCTGCTTCACCACCCACAGCGGGTCCTGACACATCTCAGGAAGCTTCAGGGCCTCCAACGCTGTCCCAGCAGGCCAAAGAGGGTCCCCACAACCAGTTTGCACAGGTAACCTTTAACTCAGGGTCGGGGGAGCAAGGGAAGGAAGACCCTTACTCAACCCACCATGCCCAACAGACAAGCTCCTCCAAGTGGACGTGGTGGTATTCAGGGAAAAGTTGGACTTGATGGTCTTGGAGGTCTTTTCCAACCTTAGTGATTCCACGATTCAGTGATTCTGTAATTCCATATAAACCAGTCTTTACACTTTTAGGTCCAGCCCGTGCACCAGCCTTAGGGGCAGACAATCCCCCACGTGCTTAGGGCAGGGGCTGGGGCACTTCCACACATCCCAAGTGCCTGGACAGGCAGAGTGGGTGTCAGGGCCAGTCTGTGTCCCAGTTCCCCACCCTTCCCGTTCCCCAGTTTCCAGTGGCTCTCCCTTTCCCACACAGTTCTACCGGGACGTGAAGGACTGGTGGCTTTTCGGCTTCTATTTCTGCCTGCCCTTGGTGTGCACTGGCATCTTCTACACCCTCATGTCCTGTGAGATGCTGAGCAAGAGGAACGGCATGAGGATCGCCCTGAATGACCACATGAAACGGGTAAAGGACCCGGGAACGCGGGAATTCTGCTGCTTCCCAAAGGGGAGGGAGAGCTGCCGAAGGGGGGACTGTGAGGGACAGGTAGGAGCTGACAAAGCCTCCCAGCAGACCTTGGATCAGTGCAAGGATTAAGGGAGAAGGGCCTTAAGCTCTGTGATCTCCAGCCTCAGGGACAACCCCAACCACCCTCTGGCCACGGACCAGCTTCATTCTCAGTTCCTTGTGGTCCTTAATCTCTGGCCCTGCTGAGCCCACACCAAACTGGATCAAATGCTGGACGTGCCAAATCCCAGACAAGAGGTGCAGGGAAAAGGAGAGTTCACTGTTCCCTTTGGGAATGATTCCCTGGGGGAGCCCAGCTGGTTGTCGCGATAGCACCGTGTGAGGGGAGGCTGGAGGAGATCCCCGTGTCCCTGGGAACGTCACCACAGCAGAGCCACCAGGAGTGACAGTGGGAAGGGGCGTGAAGGGGTCTGGTCCACACCGAGCTGCTGGTGCCCTGCCCACTTCTGCAGCCTGGATCTCGTGGTGCAGGACTTCAGGAGCAACCCGGTCTGGTGCGAGGTGTCCCTGCCCATGGCAGGGGGGTTGGAACTGGATGATCTCTAAAGCCCCATCCGACCCTAAGTATTCCATGATTCTGTGATTTGGGACCTGCTTTGCTCCACCTGCTCCCCAGTGATCACCTTCTCCCCCCCCCCTTGCCTTGGCAGCGCCGGGAGGTGGCCAAGACCGTGTTCTGCCTGGTGGTGATCTTCGCGCTCTGCTGGCTGCCCCTCCACCTCAGCCGCATCCTCAAGAAGACCATCTACGACCAGACGGACCCCAACAGATGTGAACTGCTCAGGTAGGAGCCCCAGCAGGTGGGCACCCAGCTGGCAGCCCCGGTGGCACCGGCACAGGCTGGTGGAGCTGCCTCCCAAAGCCCGGTTCCGACGACTCCTTTTCCAGACGGCATCGCCGTCCGTGGATGGGCACAGGGAGGGGCTGGGGCACCACGAGAAGGGGTTAAGTTAAATTGTGAAATATCTCTGTCAGTCTGTGGGTTAATGGAGTCTCCAGGGCAGGGAAACATTCCCAGCAGGGCTGTGCCCATGTGGTGGGTGCCCACCTTCCTTCTCCTTTCCCCCACAAGCCAAGCGCCAGCTTGGGCCAGATGTGGCTGTGCTGGAGTTTGGGGACATGGTGTCACCAGGGTGTCACCAGGGGAAAGCAGAGCTCCTGCTTTTGGCTCCCTCAGGAAATGCTCCTTGCGAGAAAAAGTGGTTTTTCTTTGGCAAGGACTGTTTTGTGCTCAGCTCTCCGTTCCCAGTCCCTGACCCTCCGCGGGGACACAATCCCAGGCCGGGCGGTTTGGAATCTCAGTTCTCCAGGAGCTTCCAACACTCTTCTCTCCCCTCAGCTTCCTCCTGGTGATGGATTATTTTGGGATCAACATGGCCTCCCTCAACTCCTGCATCAACCCCGTGGCTCTCTACTTTGTCAGCAGGAAATTCAAGAACTGCTTCCAGGTAGGAGTGACCCCTCCAGAGCTCCCGGCTGTGCTGACTGATCCCAGATTTCAGTCCCAGGGACACAAGCTGAGCTTATTCCTCATCTCAAATTTCCCCCCTGCTGGGTACCTCTCTTCCCAGCTCCAAGTACACTTGAGCTTGGTGCCCTGCTATGGGGAGGCTTTTGCCAGAGCAGGATCTAGGACAAAAATTCCCTGTCCTTCTGGAGCAGGAGTATCCCCACAAACCACTAGGTTGGGGAGTGGGGCTGCTCCAAACTTTGAGTCC